AGCTTTTTCACTGTACTGAGCATCCCTCTGCATAGTATGGTACATCCTTGAGTACCTTCAGGACCCAAATACCCAGATGCTAAAGTCCCTTAGAGAAAATGGCCAAGTGTCTGTGATTCTCATAGGTCTCCCCCTTATTTTTTCAAGATTTCAATTATTTGAAAGGCAATTACAGAGATAAAGAGAGATCTTCCACAACTGGTTCACTCCCCAAATGGCCATCCAGGTCTCCCAGGTAAGTGGCAAGGGCCCGGGTGTTTGGGCCATTTTCCAGTTTTCCTCGTAGGGTGCTAGACTGGACTTGTCAAGGACCTGGTGCTCATGGGATGCCGGTGCTGCAGGTTCAAGTTCAGTGAACCGCACACAATGATGACTTCACACACACACACTCACACACACACACACACACACACACACACACACACACACACTCTTTTAAATCATAACTACCTGTACCTAACAACGTGAATGCTATCCAAAGAGTTGTTAGGATCTACTATCCGAAAACACTGAAACAAACCCAAGGCTTTGGGTTATTCTCAAGTTAGCTTTCCCAGGTCACAAGCAGGAAGCAGGAATGGAAGGGGAGCAGCCAGGATATGAACAGGTATCCATATGGGAACCTGCGAGGCAATGAGTTGAGCCAGGCATAATGATTTAGAGGCCAACAGTAAATTTTTTAAAGATTATATTGTATTTAAAAAAAAAGATTATATTGTATTTTTATTGCAAAGTCAGATATACAGAGGGGAGGAAAGAGAGAAAGATCATCTGTTCCATGATTCACTCCCCAAGTAGCCATAACAGCCAAAGTTGAGCTGATCTGAAGCCAGGAGCCTGGAGCCTCTTCCAGGCCTCCCACACCGGTGCAAGGTCCCAAGGCTTTGAGCTGCCCTCGATTGCTTTCCCAGGCCACAAGCAGGGAGCTGGATGGGGAGTGAGGCTGCTGAGACAGGAACTGGTACCCATATGGGAACCTGGTGCATGCAAGGAGAGGAGTTGGGCCAGGCACAATAACTCAGAGGCCAAAAGCAAACAATCAGTTCCACCATGTACTCATAGAGTAGCACTAAGTAAGCGGCTGCCTCCTCACTCTCTCCTCTCCAAGGGAAAAAGGGAAACGGTTCCTCCAGGATCCTTCCAGGTTAAAGATTAACACACGTCCCATACAAATGTGGACAGTGGGAATGTCAGTCCACAAACCAAATTTGAAGAAAATAACTCTGTAACATCTAGACGGGCTGGTTCTGCGTGCAGATTTCCGCCTCCCAGGGTCATGTTTCAGGTTACAGCTTCGCAGTTCTCTGCAGGTCATTTGGTCCTGACCATCGACCCTGACATGCCATTTTTTCAGATCTGAATTCTCCACCTTCCCAAGGTTCCTTGGCCACTCCCTCAGCACACTCAGGATGGGTGACTGCCAACCCTGCCCACATGCGGGTGTACAAGTCAGGGAGCAGGGGGGGGCTTGTTGTTCCTCTAGGTACAGCGAGAACTCCCAGGGCATGCAGACCACATGCCGGTTTGTTTGCCTCCCAGAGAGAGAGAGAAAGCTCTTCCCTACCTCGACTTTGCCAAGTTCTGCTTTCAGCCATGCCTGATGATCCTCAACGTGGTTTCAAATTTGGTCAAAATTGCGAGGACGATCAGCAGCATCTAGTCCTGCTTGGTTCCCTTTCTCGTCAGAGGCAATCACAAGAGGAACTTCCACTTGCTCATCTTCCAGAAAGGCTACATCACAGGGGAGTCATCCCCCAGTCTTCCCCTGGTGTGTCTGTGGTCTATGCTCATTTCCAACTGCCATGGCTGTCTCCATTCTGGACCAGTATAAACTAAGATGATATGAATATGACATGCAATCTTTGTGAGAGAATGTGAATTCATTGTCCTCAGTAAAGGTCTAATGAGTATTTCTAGGTCACATGGTCAATGTGTTTACCTGAAGAAACTATCAGTCTGTCAGACTGCCTGCATCATTTTGTAACTCCACCAACACTGAGCATCCGAACAAGCCCACATCCTCTGCAACACGTCTCATTACACGTGCTGACATTTTAAGTACTGCTTTTCACTTTAATGAAGTCTTTTTTTACAAAAGCCATGAACAGCTGATACATTTCAAATGACGGCAAAAGTAACAACCGTTATTACTTTATAATTAGAACTTCAGTGACTGTCATTTCATTATATAGCTGTTTTTACATAATTAAAATTCAGCATAAGCAATCTTAATACTTGTTATGCATGTTAAGAATTGAAGTTTTCTCAACTATTTAATAGCTAAATAATTCTTAACCGGATCTATAATATATTGCAAATTTTTTTTTAATTTCATGGTGTTTCTTGTCATACACATTTTTATACAAAGTTTATACTTCATTGCCTCTGAATGTTGAGTCATGGATACAAGCCTTTGCCTAAATAAGATACAAGACAAACTCACCCACATTTTCTTCTAGCACATACATGGCTTCTTTCAATTCCTTGTATATTGCACATGGTGAAGCATGGACCTCATTTTAGTTTATCTCAGATTGCTTTTCAGTTAAAAAGCTATCATAAATTTCTTCCCACACCATTTTAGAAAATTTGTGTGTTTCAGTAACTTTTTCATTTCATCTAGATATTTTGTACGCAAGGTTTTTATAATATAAACACTCCTATTATTTTTTGGTGACTTCAGTAGCTGTGGCAGTGAGGCCTGGAAGAATGCAGCGTCCAGGAAATGCACGTGGGCCTTCCATGTGGGCCCAAGGCCAGCACCCAGGGCTTCCCAGGGGCATTTGCAGGGAGCTGCAGTGGAAGTGGAACAACCAGCATGCACACTTCCCATTCCCTACGGAATGTGGTGTCCCAGGCAGTGGCCTAGCACCCTGATTGATGGATTGCTTTATAGGAACATCAAGCAGAGTGTATCAGTGACTATATCTTACTTTTAAATTCCCAGTCTTCTGAAGCCTGCATGTGAACGGAGTCAAGATTGCCTTTGACAAAGTGACTGCTACACGCTAACGTCATGGCGTGCTGTAGAGGGAGGGCAAGAATCAACAGCCTCCCTGAGTCACTTAGTCCAACAGCAACACTCCCTTGTCACAATGGCTGCTCAGTCGCGTCTCAGAATTAAAACTGGTACTTGAGAGGATATGGAAACTGGCAAGAGAAAACCTAGTATCTTCATTAAATTTTTAAGCTGTCAGCACAAAACAATGTGTCAACACAGGTAATTCATCCAAGAACGCTACAAATAGTTTGTTAATGAAACACATGCAAGGCTCTGACGCAGTCAAGGAGAACTCTGTGATAACAGGAGTACTTAGCGAAATGAATACACTCTAGCATCTGGAGATTAAATACATAGCAGGCACCATGAGAAAAGAGTGGCAGTAGACAGGAAATTCTAACCTTGCATGATTTGGACATGGGCAAGCCACGTTACACGGTCGTGAGGGCCAGTCGCAGGTTAGCAGGATGAAAAGACGGGTACCTGTGATGACATCAGAGATCTGGAATGGAGCTTTGGGGTGGGACCCTGTAGTTTATGGAAATCACTGCCAAAGTAGTGAAGAGCTATGATTGTATTCTGACCACCACAAATTGGTGAGCTGGCATGGACAAGAGCCGAGGCTGCAGAAGAAAAGAGGTTCTTCCATTGGCCAGGTCAAGTGATCACCTGGTCACTGAGAAAAGACAGAAGGATGAACACGAGGGCCACGCTCAGGAGACACCAACAGATAAGCACTTCATGAATTGAATACACAAGCATGGATTCTGCTTCAAATGTCCAAACACCTGTCTTTCCCCATGCACACCATTAGAACACCAACAGGCACACCAACTATTTCCTCATGAAGACACCTGTGCAGTATTTTCAGTAAGTGGGCTCCGGCAAACCATCCAAATGACATCCTTACCTCTGAGTAACCAAGGAACAACACTTGTCTGAAAGCCAGTATTTCATTGGACTTTTTGGGAAAACGCCTCGGACATTTCAAAGTGATTATTATCTCACTGAGCTAAGGAGCCTTCGACTGACTTTGACACTTCACAACGGACGGCACGGGGACTTTCAGAACTCCAGACAGACTCTGTCCCCTGAGTAGGCTGACAACACACAGGCTACTGGTGCACTTGGGAGGTTATTTTTTTAGCTTCACCCCACTAAACACCCACCATCCACAGGCCTCAATATAAAGACAATTCAAACAGAATAAAAGCCATTATTCTACAAAGTTGTAGCTTCCATCAATCCCAACTGAACAGGTCTTTCCCCATCATTATTCAAGAGACCATCATGACACAGTAGAAGCCACACAGTTTGGAACCCAATGGACCTGCGGGGCTCCTCTGTCCTGCTTCAGACTTCATACAAAACCTCAAACTCCCCGATGCTCAGCTTCTTTACTCTCCACTAAAATGTGAGAAAACGAGGAACTGTTGGTGGATTTACCAAGAATCAACAGCACGAGCCAAGCCACACAGCAAAGCTCACTACTTCAGGCATGTGTAATCACACTTGTCAAAACCAAGCCTGTAAAACCTGATCCAGCATCATGCTCAACTCACGTTTCTCACTTGGCTCCTACCATCCAAGCTGCTTCTTCTCAAATACACAAGCATGCCAGTGTCACGTGCCACTACTTAAGAATTACTTCTTATACACGCATGCCCACACACCCACACCAGCCACAGCCACGTAATCCCTCCAGTCTTCAGATCTGAGATTCAAAGATAACTCTTTCAGGGAAACCTTCCCGGAATGGCCTAAGCCAGCCCAGGACTCCTGCCATCCACTGCTGGTGTGCCGCAGTGCATCAAAACAGTTTAAGAGCATTACTGCATTCGTCACATTATTATTTGTTGAAGGTCTTTCTAGCATTCAAATTCCTTACGAACCAGGAGATCCCCAATTCATCAGAGTCCTCATAACGACCACTGGCACTTGATAGGTAGCTGACAATCACATGAAAAGTCACACGAATGTAGACAGATATGATATGTACCTGGATAACTCCACTGGAAGACAGGCTTACAGGAAGACATTGAGCTTGTAAGCAGCTGATTGCTGACACCAACTCAGATCAAGATCAGCCTGCTGGGTGTTTCTTGGCGAGTATTTCTGGTCAGCTCCTACGGAAGGGAAAAAAAAGCAGTCTAAGGAAACAGCATCAGGCGCAGGGAGAAGTGAGAACATCAGCTGTCTTCATCCTGAGCTATAAAAGTAACTCTGCAGAGATGCTCAGGTGGGCCAAGTCCTCGAAGGAATTTTATGTACTTGCAAGTCAAGCAGTGATGAGAAGTCTTGCCTACCACAACGGTAGGGTCCTTTGTGGAGCTGACTTCCCAGCTTCGTGGGAATTTCTGAAGGGGACCGACAGCTGAGAGCAACTGGCTGGCACCTGGAGGAATAATCCTGTTTCCAAAGTAGCATCTTTATGGTACAACCCACTGCTTACCATAGTGGGCAGCAGACACTCAGGCATGCATGGTGTTCAAATCCTGGCTGCTCCACTTCCAAGCTAGCTCCCTGCTATTGGCCTGGGAGAACAAAAGAGGATGGTCCAAGTCCTCGGACCCCCGCACCAACGTAGGAGACTGGAAGAAGATCCTGACTCCTGGGTTCAGATGAGGCTGGCCCAGACATTACAGCCAGATCTCTGTGTCTCTCCTTTCTGAGTCTGCCTTTCCAATTAAAAAAAAAAAGATATTTATTATTATTTTTTTAATCTGAAAGTCAGGAATAGAAGGATTTTCCATTCACTAGTTCACTTGCCAGAATTGGCAACTGCCAGGGTCGGGCCACATGAAAACCAGGAGCCAGGAGTTTCCTCTAGTCTCTAGAGGGCAGGGCCCAAGCACTTAGGCCACCTTCTGCTGCTTTCCCAGGCCATTATCATGGAGTTTGATCAGAAGAAGCTGAATAGCCAGGACTAAGACTGGTGTCAATATGGGATGCTGGTGTCACAAGCAGACGTTTTACCCTCTATGTTGCAATCCAGCCTACATAGTTTCAAGTTTAAATGCGTTATTTGTTCCAAGAATGTATGCCATTCTGAAAACTTCTGGTCTCTGATTCAGTTTCCCTGCAGGTAACACAATGACTAACAAGTGCTGGGAAAAATGACTTTTCACAGCAGGTCATTTCCTGAGCTCAATAACTTTTTTCCCACCACACCCGCAGCACACACACACAGCACTGCAAACTCCCGCTAAAGCATCTCACTTTCCAGTTGCTACCTAAGCTGCCAGGCTGCCTTTAATAAGGCAATCTGTTCTTCCCATCTCCTGTGAGACAGTATTTACTGACATGTCATCATTTGCATACCTAGTCCTTCTACCCCACGACACAAGCTCAGATGTACCAAGAAGATTCAGTATGCAAGTCCCCTTCAGAAATATTCTTAGATCTTTCAGCCAAAACTTTAATATAAATTTTATATATTATCATACTACACCCCTCACCCATTTCAATGTGTCTCATTTGATTAAAATCCAATTCTAGACAGTTTACCAAAGGTTTATAAAACCTTCCAAGTGGGGCCGCATGAACAGAACCCCGTCTCCTTGTTCTGAGTGCTGCAGACCTGCCACGGAAGATCTGTCAATATAAACTGAGTGTGCAGCACAGCTGTTAACACACCACTTGTGACCCCCACAACTGTATGCTATCCAAGGGTCTAGATATGAATTCCAGCCCCATTTCTCTGATGCCAGCTTCCTGCTAACGTGCAGCAGGGGACGGCAGATGATGGCTCGTGTCATGCTATCCATGTATGAACTCACCCCGAGTTCCAGTTTTGGGCTATTGCATGATCTGAGTGAACCAGCAGTTTGGGCATCTCTGCCAATCTACCCATTTCTACCTCTCTAGTAAATTAAAGCCCAGTTACTGAAACACGTTTGTACAATGGCATCTGAACTCTTGTACCTTGGTCAGAGAGTCTGGGATAAGACACAGACTCTGGTCTTGCAGCACTGTGCACAGCTCCATTTGCGTTATGTCATGCCTGCCTGTCTTCTTAGAGTTCCCACGCACCTGTCATCCTCTCTGCCTGACTGCAGTTTCTGTTGAGCATCCTCGATGCGTGGCAAGCACTGACATAGATGCACCCTTACTACTCACCGCTCTCCTGCTGGCTGCCTGTGAGGCAGAGGGGATTCAAAGTACATCTTTGCAAAGACTGATGAGGGGAAGGAAGGAACCTGGGGAGTAGGGAAATGAGGGCAGTGTGTTTTTCTTCTTGGCACCTGTACCTGCACGATGCATAAAATCTGTTTTCTTTGGGAAAAAAATTTTTAAACGTAACTTAAAAGAAGAACCCATTAATTTTTAAACATTTCCACAATCTCATTTTAAACTTAAAATTTGCTAAAAAAAAAAATAGTCTTTATACTATTATATATGAAAACCCAATGGCTCTTGTCTTTAGAGGGAAAGCATAAAAATAAATTCTAGAAAGTATACTTGTTCGTCAAAGCCTTTTTATTAAAACAAGGTATTCGAAGTTTAGAGATGTTTCAAGCATTTTAGGCATTGTGAAGTTTGGAGAGTTAACACTCCACACCAGGGCTCTTTTCATCAACTGGGCCACCTGGACCACCAAGCTCTTGAGCGGCACTCATTCCCACTCTGTCAGGTGAGACACCACGTAGGGGCACAGGGAGACCCTCCAAGCCACACATTCTTGTGGGTGGCACCATCAAGCCACCATCTTGGCCACACATTCAAGTGGGTGGCACAGCAATTTCCCAGCCACTCCTAACTGGCTGAGAGATTACCAATGGGGAATGTCCTTCCCGCAGGTTCCAGCCAGACAAGGAGGGCACAGGGAACGCTTCAAATGCCAAAACCCACTCGAATACCTTTGGTGTCTCCTCTCCTTTCAAGAGGTACCCCACCTCCAGGTCCCCTCCTGGGGGGTGTTTACCCCTTCCTTCTTTCTACAGTCACCAGGTCACTTTGCAAATCAAGTTTCTTTAGCTTCAGCCGATTCTCTGCTTTTTCTGTACTAAGCTGAGGAAAGAACCCACTGAACTTTTCTGGTAACAGAGGCACTCATCTAAGGCACTGGTCACAGGCATTTCATCTGCACGGCAAGGACCCAGCAAGGAACAACAAAGCTGATTCCCATGGAAGCAATAAGGCAGGCAAGGAAATCCACATTGCACTTTATCCTCAAGGCAACCGCACTGCAAACAGTTAACGGTGAGGTCTATCAGAGAGGAAGGGAAATCACCCTCACACTTTTACTCCTAAGATCCAGATTTTTATTTTGTTTTTGGTCCACTGTAATAACAGATCTGTTGAAAGCAGGGACTCTGAAGTTTGTTTGTTTGTTTGTTTTTAAATTCAAGGGCCCTGAAATTCCAGGCACCTGCTGAGCCCAATCAACTCCACGTGCTGGGCTCCACTCCCAGATTCCAACGCAGGCGATCTGGGACAAACCCCAGGAACTTGTATTTGTACTAAGTTCCCAGGTGATGCTGCTACTGCTGCAGTTAGTCCCAAAATACCAGTGAACTCAGCGGGTCAGCTTTCTGGTTGAGTTTGCACTTACAAGTGCACTTCACCAACTGGGAAATTTTTAAACATACCTGGGCACTGTCACAAACTGCTCACTCTGTGTGGAGGCGACCCTGGGCATGGGCATCCTCACAGGTCTTCTATTAGGCCTGGCGTGCATTCCGCCCCGACACTCAGTGGTCGGCAGCAAACACATGTGCTCCCCGTGCTTGCAGTCATTACCACTGCCAGGGTCCCCAGGCTTCCTGCCAACAAATCAGCAAAAGGCCAAACTCCTAAGGTTTTTGTCTCCTTTGGCCCTGGGGTCTTGAGAGCAGCTACTAACTTGGCTTGGCCTTACAAGGCTGCTGGGCAATTAGCCGCGGGTATTTACAACGTGTCTCCTACTGCCTCATCTTCATTCTGGTGGACGGGTCAGGCCTGTGTGGCCATGGCCTGCTGTTTTTATGACAGCAGAAGTATTCCCAGTGGCAGGTGCCCCTGGGGCTCCCTTCTAACTTGTGTCCATTTTTCTCCCACCATTAACTGAGCCCACGTGTGTCAGAGGAGCCTAAGGAAAGCCAAGCAGCCCGGTATTGTATAAGACCTGCCTCCAACCCAATAACTTCACAGGTGCTCTCCATCAATGCCCACAAGCTCCCAAGAGGCTCTGCTCTACGTTGCACCAAACTGGTTACCCTGCCTGGCAACCCTGGGCAGTACAGCCTTCACAGCCGTCCCCAACAAAGGGCTCCCAGGAGACACTCCCTTGCCTGCAGTGCCACGAAGGGTACCCAGCCTGATAGGTGTGGGTAGTACAAAACCTAAAGAGAGTTTTCAGCTAATTCACACTCAACAAGCCCTTTGAGCTGGAGAAGGGAGAGGAGAGCAGGAGGAACGGTGGAAAAAACTCCACCCTCCTCCCTTACAAGCCCCTCTCCGAGTACAGTACGCCCACTTGGCCCTGTCCTGAGCTGCCCGCCTTGGCTGCCCAGTACAGGTTTCTCCTAATCCATGTAACCTCCCAGATTCCGTCTGGAAAAGTGCCCATCAGTTCTGATGGGTACACGACCTCATTAACCCTGCTACCTTGCTTACCACTGCTGGCTCACACTTGAATCGTTTCTTGGCAGAAGGTCAGGAGTGGGCGAGGGACGGACAACTCCACTCATACAAACACTACCAAGACCACTTTTGAGGGCACCCCTGACCGCAAAAGTTAGATTTAAGCGTGTCCGTCAGGCAAGAGGCAGTGAGAAGGCGAAAACAAAACGCACGAGACAGAAAAAACGCTATACTCACACAACCCAGGAAGGTCAAAGGTGTCGGCGGGAAGATGGAGACAGCAAGCCGCTCAACCAGTGTGTGTGGAGCATGCGCAGGAGAACGTGGGGCGTGCCCTCCACAAGGTTCGTGAGCCCGGCTCGCAAAGGGGCCGGATTGGCTGGTTTAAGGCTACCACGTGCAACGAATAGTACTGCCCATTAAGTTTGATTGGAGTCAGCAGCTAGAGTGTGAGGGGTTTGGGTCAGGGAATGAGAAACACCTGGGCCGTATCCCAAACACCGCAGAAGTGTTAACTTGGCTAACATTAAAAATGTACAAGGCAGCATGGGCTAACTCAGATCAGGCCCGGAGGTAGACAACGGAAGCAGGAACTATATGAAGTACATTACAGATATAGGGATAAGCCAAGAACGGGTGTTTGTCTCCTGTTAGCCTGCATGGGAATACACACAGAATCACAGCCATTTCAATTGCCACACCTGGGAATGACCTGGCCTTCTGACATGCCTTAGCAGATACAGGCTGCTGTTTTTCCACCTGGGAGGTGTGCAACAACAGAAAGACCTCTGGGCCTGCTGCTGGCGGTGTGGCCGTGTGAGTCCACACTTCCCTGCCCCACAGCCAAGCGCGAGTGTGCTGAGAGGATAACCCCCGGGGGGGGGGGGGGCCACGCAGAGAATAAACAGCGATCAGCTCTGGCTCACTCAAGGCCAAATGAATTCAACCTGGACAACTGCAACACTTGAGACATCCGGGTCTCCTGGGGGCTGTTGCAAAGTTGGACCTTTCATGATCACTGATGCCTTCTGCGTTCCCCACAGCAAGCAAGGAGAGGGAGGGGCAGCAGGAACCAAACAGCACCGAGTTCTAAGAGGTTGCAGAGGTAGAATTACGGGGTTCAGGCTCTTGGGTCACTCGCTGGGGGCTACAACCAGAATGGACATGTCTGGGAGAGGAAAGGGCACGGGGCAGAGGCAGCCGTTATTCCAAGCCGGCTTCCCTTTGGGAGGACCCACTCAGAAGCCAGCTGACTGCTCACCTAGGCAGTGCAGCCTGCAGGGGAAGCCGAGGCGTCATTGTCGAGGAAAACTGAGGCTCCAGCTTCCTGCCAGGGCAGATCCTGGGAGGTGGCGGATCACGGTGGGTCAAGGAGTTGGCGGGCGGGGAGGGGCTACTATCTGCACTGAGCTCCAAGCACCCAGATTTGACCTGGAACAGTCAGATCTTTGGGGAGTGAACTTACAGATCAGAGAGATGCTGATCAATCGATCTCTGCCTCTCAGCAAAATCATGGATACGCTGGAAGGAACTGGATGGATAAGAGAATGTTGTGTTTTGGCATTAAATGGCATTAAAGCCAGGAGAGTGGCTTATCTACAGGTAGCGAGTTGGGTTCGATTATTAACTTTGATTTGATAGTAGTAACTTTCTCTTCTAACTACCTTCACCGCGTCCCCTTCTTGACATCACCTCTGGAATTGGCACTGCTCCCAGAACCCATTTTTATCTGCAGACCTTAGGAAGTCATCCTGTTCTGGCTGTCTGGAGGTAAGAACAGGATTACGGAGCTAAGACGTCACCACGTGGCCAGCACTGGATTGCAGGTTGGAGAGGAACTCCATCAGGGCCTGCCTCTCAGTGTGGGGTAGACAGGAAGGAGAGTGACCCAGAACACGAGCAACTCCAAGTCAGGCCCTAGGCCACCCGGAAGGCAACAGCTGGACTTCCTGCCAGGAAGCCTGGGTGCCAGGGACACAGGAGGCAAGTGGCGCCTCACTGCCTGCTCTCCTCACTCTGAGTCTCAGTGAAGGGAGAAGTTCTCACCCAGAGTCCACGGGGATTTGGGGATCACCTAGGTCAGACAGGGAGCAGGCAAAGTGACAATGAGCAGCTCCTGAGGCCAACCCTCCCTTGTTCTTGCTGGGAATCTGGCCATGACAGCCAGGATTGCCACGATGGCCTTGGAGGGGGACGAGGGAAATGGAGGAAGAAGAAAAGGAGGTGGAGGAGGAAGAGAAGAAGGGAAAGTAGAGAATGAGAAAGAATGCAGGGCCTAGAAAACCAAAAACTCTGAACTCGGGGTAAGAACACCTGGTCTGGAATACTCGTTCTTCCTTGGTTTTGGTGAAGTCATCACCAGTTTCGGTACTTGTCGCATGCTCAAAAATGTCAGGCTGTTATTGTGCAGGATGACCGGGATGTTGAGCAAACAACGATGCTAAAATTCTCTGTAATGAAGACAGACATTGGGCCGGTGTTGTGGTACAGTGTGGTAAGCCATTGCCTTTGACACCAACATTCCATCTAGGCGCTGTTTTGAGATTGGGCAGCTCCACTGCGAGTCCAGCTCCCTGCTAATGCACCTGGGAAAGCAGCAGAAGGTGGCCGAGTACTTAGGCCCCTCCATCTGTGTGGGAAACCCAGACGAAACTGTAGACTCCTGGCTTCAGCCTGACATAGCTCCAGCCATTGTGGCCATTTGGAGAGTGAACCTGCAGACAGAAGCACTCTCTCTTCTTCTAACTTTTCAAAACAAAGCAATGACGGCTACCACCAACACAGTACTTACAATGTGCTTGTCATCCGTTGCCCATTTATGTAGTCCTCACAGTAAACCTCTTTGTCCTCTGCCGATCAGTACACTGAGTTCCTTAGAAGTCACTTGGTTCCTTCCACAGTGCCCTCCAGCCTTCTGGCAATGCTGAGCTCCCCATACCCACTCAGGTTTGAACAAGCAAAGCAGCAAAACCCTGAAAACAAACCGAGGGAATGGAAGTGCAAGCCCCATGGACAGAGGATGTGTGGGGCAAGGAAGAAAACACTGCCAGGGAAGGGCACAGAGACATATATATATAAAAAATTCTCTCCAAAACTGGTTTCAATGATCCCTAAGCTGAAACCAGGGATCACTGAATCCATCTTGGTCTCCCAATCCAGCCCTTGCTAATGGCCTGGGAAGGGAAGCTGAAGATGGCTCATGTGGGAGACCTTGATGAAGGTCCGGGCACTGACCTGACCTCGCCCTGGGGATTGTGGCCATCTCGGGACTGAATTAGCAAATGGAAGATCTCCTTCTCTGTCTTACTCTGACATTCAAATAAATAAAGATATATGCACTTTGGCGGTACTTCATCTGTATGTTCTTGTAATAATAACAAAACTAATAATACATGATATAAACCACTTTGTGAACACCTAAGGGCCCTATGCCCCTGATCTAAGTGGCCCACACATCTCAGATCCCCACACTCGCTCGGAGCCGTTGCTGGGTGTATGGTCCTCTTAGGATGTTTCATACAACAGTTAAGATACAACCACGTGGTTTAAATCCATTGCCTACCAGAGCACCCAATACTCAAATCATGTGTTTAATTAACACATGCACAGGAAATGGGCAACTAGGCAGGCTCTGGTGTCAGAGCCTGGGATGCAGGAGATGGGCCTTGAGATGGCAGAGATGGGCAGGCCTGATGAGGCCACAGCGGGGGATGGCCCAGAGAGGACAACGTGTAGGGATGCAGTGCGTGGGGGCAGTGCAGGCAGGCAGGCTGTGAGGTCAGGAGGCTCGGCGGGCAGGGCACAGACTTCAAGGCTGGGTTTCTGCAGAAGGCAGAGACCGAGCCTGACCTGAGCCCTGTACACGTGCCCTACAGAAAGGGTTCATGAGATGAGGACCAGGAGGGCGACACTGCGGAGCTAGAGGCAGGCCCTGGATGCCTTGAGCAAGCACTTACCTTGCAACCAGCTGTGGGGCCAGGGGGAGGGATAGGACCGAGACCCCGCCCAGAGCCCCCCAATGCCACCTCGTCTACCCTGAAGTGGATCAGACCTCCCACTTCCCGACATTTCCCACCCTGCCCCCGGGCACTGATTCAGCTGAAGGGTGGCAGGAGTGTTGGAAAGCATTGCCTTTATTTCTTGGCGGGCTCAATGGGTCCCATTATGCTAGCAGGGGGAGGGGGCGTCAGGGCCAGCTCCACTGGCGGCTCCAGGTCCTCCTCGTGGCGGGCGCTGGGAAGCTGGGTGCAGGCCTGTGGGCAGATGGCAGCCAGACTGTAGGGAGGACTGCACCTGCCCACCCTGCCTCTGTCCTCGCCTCGTGGAGACACCCTGCTCCGGTTTGGAGCTCCCCTCTCAGGCTTCAGGATCTACTCGCCCCACCACGCTGCTCCCCAGCTACCTACCTCTCCGTCTCTGGCTTCCTCCCAGCCTCTGCTGAGCTCGGGGTTCCTGTGGAGACCTGTACTGTAGATTTCTCCAGCTCCGCCCTCAGCCTGCAGAAAAGGGCTAAGCAAGGAAGAAGGGAGCCCCTTCTCTTCCATCCCATGACCTGGCCCCCAAGTCCGCCTCTCACCTGTCGTCCTCAGCAGGGGCGTCCAGAGCCTTGGACAGCCAGCGCAGCTGCTGCTCCACTTCGCACAGTTTGGTGAGCACCCGCGTCTCTGCGGGCGCGGGGAGCAGCGGGGAAACAGGCTTGGTTCCGGGATTGAGGTGAGCCTCCCTCTAGGGACACCCCCCACCCCAGCACCCCAGGTCTCACGCTCCGTAAGCAGCTGCTCCTTGCTGCTCTCCAGCGCGCTGATCTCCCGGGCCAGCCGCCTCTCCAGCATCTGTGAGGACAAGGCACATGCCTGACCGGCTGTCTGTCTTCATGGCTACGACCACTGCCCCATGCCCTCTATGCCAGGGCCATTTGCACACTGACAAGTGGTGCAAGCCCACATGGCTTCCCCTCTCCTTTCCTTCTGTATTCAGTTGCCACCTGTTGAGTGCACCCTCCTGCCATGTCCCCAAGCGCTCAAGCCAGCTATTTTCTTGGTGAGAGCCTGGGTATTACAGTCTCTCCCTGCCTGCTCCCAATCAGGTTGGACATAACTCGGGCCTTTTGGGTCACCACTGTCTCTCCCTGCTGATTCACACAATGGCATAACAGGAGGCATGAATTGACCTGGGTTTTGTCAGCTCTCCTATTTGCCATATTCTAGGCAACAGGAGGGAAGAAGGCTCAGCCAGGGCAACTGCAACAGCCTAAGCAAGCAATGGTGGGTGTGGCCATGGAGAAGTAGCCAGCTATGAGGTACAAGCTCAGAAAATGAGTAGGTGGGTGAGAGGCTTGAGAAGTGGTGGCTGAACAATGGCATTCAGCAGATCAGTCTGCCAAGACATTGATGCCAAGGAGCAAGTGGCTTGGGTGGCAGGCAAGGACAATGGCTCACGTGGAATTCCCAGAGGTCCTTGTGCTGGCCCATCAGATCATCCAGCTGGCCTTCGACATCCAATCTGGGGGCAGAGAGCCAGAAATCAGAGACCACAGGCTAAGACCGTCACCCTGCCAGGCAAGCCTGGGACATGACTGGCACAGTGGGAGCTGGCCTGACGCTCCCACACTAACTGCTGGGAGCCCTTTCTTGGGTCTCACCCTTCCCTTTGCTCCGTCTCACCAACGGCCCAGGCAAAGGCTCACTCACAGCCTGCAGCCAGCGGCGCAGCAGACCCCGGGCCCTAGAGCTCCCATGGCTTCCTCCAGCTTGCTGAGACACACCACAGTCTGACAGACTAACCCTCTGTCACACCACCCCCCCCCCCCCCACTGACCCTGCACTCCCGTAGGTAGGGCTGAGAGCTGGGCCGGAATATGTCGGTAACATTAGCCAAGCTCCCTCATCTGTCCAGTGTCAACCTTTGCTGAGTCTCTATAGTGACCATTATATCTTTGCTCATGCTGTCCTCCATCAAACTATGCCTGCCCAAGAAAGATTTGTGAAGGATGCACAAAATTTCTGAATGAAGTCCTTACCTCAAGCCCAGCCTTACAACTTCCTGTGACTCTGGACAAATGAACCTTTCTGAGCTTTGTTAGCTCCTAGACACACTGGTGGTAATGGTGGAAGATTGATATTAGCCTTTAACTGTTAAAATTATCATCACAATGATGACGATGCAAATGCAGCCATGTGCTATATACCATTTTGGCTTACAAACAGTATATCCAGGGAGCCTATAGCCTTCTTAGTAAACATACTACACACCATGGTATTTGCGCAACTGTGAAACTACCTAGCAACCCATGACTGTAAAGACCACGAATGTCCATCAGTGGGTGTACAGGGGGGTTACATATACACCCATTCCAACTATTTTTCACTAGGTTTCTGCAAACAGTCACTGGTTATAACACCATTAGACCTTTAGTGACAAGAATGTTTAACTCAAGGCACAAAGGAGGGAAGACTGTGTGGATGAATTGATGGTGTGCTGGTGGCTACGTGAGGAGATGACGGCTGGCCGGGGACAGTTAATAAAAGCATGGTGGTTGGATGGAGAACCAAAGGAGGGACTGCTGGAGGGAAGGACAGGTATCTGGATGATGGCTGTCTGGATGGGTGATGTGATTAGAGAATTGGGTAGGGAATGGACGGATACAATAATGGATGAATAGGTAGCTGGGTGCCTGGGCAAATGGATGACTGAGGCCTAAAATGAAGAGACATAAATGAACAGTTGGTAAGGAAGCTGGATGGCTAACAAACAATGAATTTAAAAAACCAGCAGTGAGTGATACAATGAGTGAATGAATCTAAACACCCATACCAAATGTCAGCCGTAATGAGGAAGGTCTTCTGTCCGGCCAGCCTGTTTACAGAATAGGGGGGAGTAGCGCGTGTCCACGAGGCACCTCCCTAGCTCTTGCAGCCTCCTCCTTCCAGCTGGTGAGTGAGAAGGGGAGGGCTGGAGTTGACTCCTACCTCGGAGCCTTGCTCTTCTCTGGGCAGTGCAGCTGAAGGATCCACAGCGCCTCTGTGCAGGGAGAACCCAGAGGGCCGTATGAGAGTCCTTGAGGAGGCTGGCTTGGCAGGAGGTGGGTCCCACGTGGTACAGGGCTGGAGAGTGGAAGGGGGTGTCACCTGGCTCTTTATTCCAAGTAAGAAGGCGACTAAGGGAGAGATTTGAGCAGACAGGGAAACCCCCTGACTCAGGCTGAGCAGGCTTTGGCTACACTGGGGCTGGTTTTTTGACTTTTGTGGAGCGTTATAATGAGGAAGACACAGCAACTGATAGGTACCTTGCTTCTTGTTCAAAATCTCCTGGAGGTGCACTTTCTCTCCATTCACTGGAAAACACAAGGACATGTTCAGGCCCCCAAAGTCACATCCGTGTCTCTAACTTCCTACAAGGACAGACACCCCAGAGAAGATGTGATGCAGCTTCAGAAGAGGGGAGATCTATGTTCCCCAATCCTGTGCCCATCTCCTGGGCACTCTCCTGATGCAATTCCTGTCCCCTACCACACATTCCCATAATGAATGGACTGAAGATGCTGAAAAATATGCAAGGCTTATACTGAGAGGGGGAGGTGACCATTTATAAATACACCATGTCAGGATGAAGTAAAGGCTCTGAAGTTAACTCAAGCAAGGGCGTGTGAGTGCCAGAGAGAAGGCAGGATTCTGCTTTTGGATGATGTCATCAAGGTAGGCTTGTCAGGATAAAGGGCTAGCAGTGGCATGGCAAAGGAGGAAGCAATCGGACTGTGCTGGCCAAGGGCATTGCAGGTAAAGGAACAGCTGGTGTTAAGGCTGGCAGGCGTGTGCACCTCCAGTGTCCAGGCTGGCAGGCATGTGCAGGACCCCAGCAGTGGCCATGGCACCTCTGGGCTCCTCACTCGGTCCCACTTACAGGAATCCAGTTCCCTCTGGAGGGCTTCCCAGAGAGCTTGGGCCTCTCCCACTTCCTCGCTGGATTTCTTATCAGCTGGGTCAGGGAAGGGAAGAAGACACTGTATGAGTGCAACGTTGGACCTCACTGTTCTCTCGCAGACAAGATCACTGCATGCTCATTCTCCAGAAACCTGGAGCTTGCAGATGAGGAAACAGAGGTCCTCACAGTCTGGGCTCCCCGAGCTAACCCTGAGCTGGCCAATGCAGCTCCCCTGGCTCACCTTGCTGAAGCTCATTAATTCGGTTGATCAGGTCCTCAATCTGGGGCTCCAAGCTTCCCTCTGAAGACAGAAAAAGAGATTCAGCCAAGGAAGAGGCCTGGCTAACGAAGGCACACGGAGGAGGGGTGGGTTCTGGCACTGAGTCTTGCTGCTGTCAATCAACAGGCATTTATTTGGCACCTGTTGTGTGTTGGGCTCTGTAAGAGGCCCTTGCTGGGCTTGTGTTCTGGGCGGGAGGGATATGGTCACCAACTTCAGCTCTTGTGACTTCAGGAATGTGGACATTCCTAGGGAGCCCTACTCACTCCTGATCCTGGAACTATAGCTGGGCAGGAGCCCCAGTGCACCACGTCTGCAAGTGGCCAGGGTAAGGAAGGGTATGATCCCTTTAAGAGGACTACGGGCTGCAGTGCTAACCACACACCCAGTGCGCTGCTCTAGCCCTGCTTCAACTTGGCTCCCTGGTCCTTACCAACAAACAAAGCAAGGTGCAAATCCATGTGCATTTGCCACTGGTGCATTGAAAGGGAAGACAAGGACTTTATCCTTACGAATGCAGTTTTTACAACATCTCTGGAAAGATGGTGAAGGATTTAAAAAGCTTTTTCTTGCCTGTTGATGAGGGATATGGGTGATGTGTGTGTGTGTGTGTGTGTGTGCACATGCACATATGGAGGATAGGCAGCTAGAAGCTTCCCTTAATTTTGAGCTGGGCAGGGAGTACATGGGGTTCCGTTTTTGGCTCAAATAAGTAAGTTGGATAAGAAGAGGAGAAGGCACTGAGAAAATGTCCCAAGGCTGCTGAGTGAAGGGGCTGGGCTGGAGCTCTGTTTGTCAGAAGCCTGAGGCTGAGGCACAGGGAGACACACGACCTTTCTGCAGCCTTTTCACCATTGCCACCAAGTCTTCAGTCTTCTTTAAAGACTCGGTCAGCCCTGCGGAGATGAAAACCAAAGTTACAAGACCAGTGGGAGGGAAAGGGACAGAGACAGATCCAGCGCCATCGGGGAGGAAGTCCCTGTGGGTTCTGCAGACCCCCCTTGGCTGAGGGCTGGGGTCAGTCAGCCTGGCAAAGGGCTATAGCCATGTGAGGACACTGTCTCATGGCCCCAGGATCAGTCGACAAAGGATCCCACAGATACCTCCTTCCCGCAGCTCTAGGGGGAGAGGAGCTGCTGCTGTCGCTCTTCAAGATCATTAGAAAGTTCTAACCAAGGCAACAGGGCGGAAGGATTGCTTGTGGGTTTCTTTAAAATCAGTACAGCCCATAATTTGCAATTCTTACTGCTTTGATGGATCCAGGCCATGGGTATTCATAGCTGGCTATTGTTAAGAAAATAATAGGAGCAGAGTTTTTTTGACAGCAGAGTTCAACACTACCTATGAGGAAACTGTCCCAAATCTCCCCACAAAATAAATCAAACAACAAAATGGAATCTCATCTGCCTCCCATATCTAAATAGCAATTCAGAAGACAAAAGGACATGCTAAACCACACCACAGGGATTACATCAACATGACCCAGACTACACAGGGAGAACATGATGTCTTCAACAAGTAAGTTACAAGAGAGAGGCAAAACTATAGATTGAGACAGGCAAGGTAAATATCCATCAAGAGTAATATGTGGACCTTATTAGGATCTTGATTCAGACATATTCTTCACCACACACCTCTCCCAATATTTTAAATTGAGCCTGTGTCACTTTTATAATTAAAACAATAAAACACCAGAAATGATAACATCTTTAGCTCTTGAAATGAATGACAGAAGGGTGAGGACAGGCGCTGGGGCTTAGCAGGTTAAGCTCCTGAGAGCACCTGGGCTGGAGGTTCTGCTCCACTGTGGGTCAGCCTCCTGCCGATGGGCCTGAACCGTGACAGATGATGGTTCCAGTACTTGGGTTCCTGCCACCCACATGGGAGGCCCGGGGGAGCTCCTGGTTCTTGGCCTTGTCACAGCCCAGTCCAGCTGCTGCAGGCATTGAGCGAGCGAACTAGCAAGTCTCTGTCTCTCCTCGTTTGTCACACTGCCATTCAAGCAAAAATAAAACTTAAAAAAAGAAAGATAATCTAAAGGCCAAATCCCAAGGATCAGCCCCTTTCAAAAAACATTTAGTAGAGAAGTTGCAAGGCAGCTCACAAAGCATATGTGACAGCCATGACATGAAAGAAGAAATGCTTACTTACCACATGGTATAGCATGGCACACACGCGTCCCCAGCCTCCCTCCTCGGACGCCAACAGAATCACAGGCTGTCTCTTGATATTTGGACACAATTCAATTCCTAGACGTGTATGCATTCTATACATTTTGTTTTTTTCTACGTGGCTGGTAGCATGTGCTTCGTGATGCTATATATTTATTCGTGATTCATATATTTCATTTGACAGAGAATACAAATGCAGAGATGACCTCCTTCCTGGATTTAGTGGCTGCAAAGAATTCCACTGCATAGACCACAATGTGGGAGCAGTGTCCTACTGTAGGATTTTCAGATTGTCTTTTTTTTTCCTGATAGTAGTAATGTTACAAAGATTTTATCTTCATTTGGTTTCTCCAACAGCTGTAACCAGGAATCACAAACAGGCCCTTCCCACGCCGACACTCTGAGCCTCCGTCTTCACATGACATTCCGTGTCCCAATTCCCGTCTTCTTACAAGGACACGTCACTGACACAGCCAAGTCCGGAGTGATCTTATCATAAAACTACTGCTGCAAATGCCCTACTGCCAAATACGGTGGCATCCTGTAGTTCCAGCGGGACATAATCGGAGGGAAGGTACAATTCAGTCACTATCCTTGTATCTTGCTCTGTGTGTTTGTGTCAGAGTGTACCCCCTGCACACGTCTCCAACCTGGGAGCTAACTGCTGGGTCAAAGGCTATGTATATCATCAGCTTTGTCTTCATGATGGAATTGCCCTCTGCTCGTTCGGCCTTCACGGAGGAACCCTTCCTCATCCTTACGCTTTCATCTCTTTATTCTCTGCCAATCTGACAGATAAAAAGAGTCCGACTTCAGAATTCCTGGATATCAAGTAAGTATTAAAAGCCAAAGTTGTCTTCTCTAGGTTAGAAATTCCACTCCAGAAGCATGGCTTCTTTTTTTAAATGATCACTCATTTGCCCTGAAGCAGAGTGCGAGACAGAGGGAGATCTTCCACCTGCTGCTTCGCTCACCAAACACCGTCACAGACAGGGCTTGGCTAGGCCAAAGTCAAGAACCTGAACTCCATGCAGGCCGCTCGCATGGGTGGGAGCTGCCCGAACACTTGGGCTCTTATCCACTGCCTTCTCAGGCTAGCCGGAAGCTGGACTGGAAGCAGAGCACCTGATCTGGCACTTCGGTATTATAGAACATGAGCAGCCGAAAGCAGTATCCTACCCCATTTTGTCAAAACACCAGCCCCCTAAGAATCTCTCTTAAGGGAATAATTAAAAGTGTTAGACAAGATATTAACTTTTTCACTATCTTTAATTTTGAAATAGAGAAGTAACCTTAGGATAACTTAAGAGGCTAATTACAGCAGTTTTACATTGTGCCACCTAAATCAGAAACATTAAAAAGATTTTACAGCCATTAAAGTATTGTTGCAAAATAAGGGCTTTTTTTTTTTTTTTGAAAGGTTATTTGAAAGGCAGACAGAGAGAAATATCTTCCACGTGCTGGTTCACTCCACATATGTCCACTGTGTCCAGGATTGGGGTAGGTTGAAGCCAAGAGCCAAGAATTCTACTTGGGTCTCCCATGTGGGTGGCAGGGCCCAGCCACTTGAACCATGTTCTGCTGCCTTCCCAAGTGCATCGGCAGGACTCTGGATTAGAAGAGCAGCTTGGACTTGAATCCGTGCTCTGAGAGGTGATGCCAGCACTGCAAGCAGAGGTTTAGCGTACTGCACCACGCTAGCCCTGTGGCACTCTTATCCTGTGCTTGTTATATTTGGTTAAGGTGTGGTAATGAGACCTCTTAACTGGCATGCATTAATTTCGCATTTTAACTCAAAAATAAAGGCAGAGGGGCCGGAGCAGTAGCCTAACAGCTAAAGTCCTCACCTTGAACACACCGGGATCCCATACGGGTGCTGGTGCTAATCCTGGCAGCCCCACTTTCTATCCAGCTCCCTGCTTGTGGCCTAGGAAAGCAGCTGAGGATGGCCCAAAGCCTTAGAACCCTGCACCTGCATGGGAGACCTGGAGGAAGTTCCTGGCTCCTGGCTTCGGATCGGTGCAGCACCAGCCATTGAAGTCGCTTGGGGAGTGAATCATCGGATGGGAGATATTTCTCTGTCTCTCCTCCTCTCTGTATATCTGACTTTCCAATAAAAAAAAAAATAAATCTTTAAAAAAAGAATATAGAAAAACAGAGTAACAAAGTCTTCCTTGGTCAGTTGCCCCTTTCGCAAGTTCCTCCCTTCCAGAGAGAACCAGCGTCAGCTGGTGAGGACCACACTTGTAGTTAAATGTTTCTGCCGCTGCTTTAATTGATACTTTCTTAAACATGCAACATTTTATTTTTTTTTAAGATTTATTTTTATTATTATTTTAAGAAATTTTAAGAAAATTCAAACATGCACGAAGATGCAGCAGTAATAATGAAACTATCTCTTCTTTCCTTGACCAAAAGCGCCACTGCCTTGGCCAGACAGGCTCACCAACATGCTGCTACGGCTCCCGCGGAGACACTGTCAATCTGAAAAACATCTGTAATACTTGGGAGTGCAGCACGCTCCACGCTGCTTTCAAGGTGAGGCTTCGGCGACCCGTTTTTAGTATTTCATTAGGAATACTTTAAAAGCACACAAAAATCAAGGATACTCTGGACTTAGCATTCCCCAGGCGTGCGCGTCAGCGCCTGTTCCCTTTTCCAAAGGTTTTTAAGCCAGTCGTGGGCTTTGTATATTTCATCCCGAGACACTTCATTAAGAGCCTCAACTATTCGAGGTGACCTCAATCCTAGAATCACACTGAACAAGACACTTGGGATCAATAATCTCACCCGATCCCCACGTCACAGGTAAGTTTGCCCTCTGTTTCCCATCTTTCACAGCTGGCTACTGGCATCCAATGATTTGCAGCACTGCCAGAAAACCAAGGGTGGGCAATGAGTCCTCATATGGCTTTTTTTTTTTTAATTCCATGCTACAAATGATAACAGCCTGCACAGTGTGAGCCCCTGTTTAAATAGTTTATTTTGAAATAGTTCCAGATGCACACAAAAGTTGTAGAAATAGGCCATTGTGTTCCCATTTGCCCTTGTACCGTTCCCATACCTGTAAGTGCTTCTGAACCATGACTTCGGACATTACGACCCACTACTCCATAAAATTCAGTGTGGATTTCCTATATACAAAAGGAATCTACCAGGTAACTGTAATATAACCATCAAAACCTGGATATTAATATTGATCCAATATTAACGTACCCTCAGACACCATTCACAATGTCAACTTGTAGTTTAAAAAGACCCACTCCTTACATTTTTCTACAAGAAAAATAAGCCAACACATTACAATAACGCCTCCACCTCGGTGTCAGTCCCACGTCCCAAGGCCCAGACGCCGGTCAGGTCCTGAGCTCGGGTTGCCAGGACAGCACACGCAGGACACTCTCAGCAATGCCTACGGCTCTTCTGTAATAAAAGTACATTCTGTTACACAGATCATTTTGGGCCAATCAAAAATGTTATCTGTTTAATTTCAGTGTAATTATTTTCCTTTGGTCTCTTTAAAACTCCCTGTGCGTTTCCTTGGGGTGCATGGATCCGACCAGAATCCAGCCACTGCTGCAACTGCACCCACGCTTCGCCTCCATCAACAACGTCCCTGCCTGTTCTTGGTCCACGGGTCTGGGACTTCTCCCATGGTCTAGCTTGGGGACTGCAGATGTGGGAAAGCATTTCAGAGGCTGAAAATGTTTTGCCAAACTGCCTTGGGCACCACGATCAACAGTCAGTTCTGTGGGAGGAAGAGGTGGCTCAGCACAGGGCCTCAGCACCCGGCACATCCGCCCTTCCAGAGCCTGTCTGCAGGTGATGGTAAGCGTAGCTTCAGAGGACGGTGATGCCAGGCTTCCAGGGGCAGCTGCACAGAGGGCTTAGCACGTGCAATCTAATTGCATTTGTCTTATTTCTGTCCTTTTTTTCTTTTGAAAGCCGGCACCTTGTGCCTTTTAACCCCAAATAATGACCTCAATGATCTCCTTACTCACACCTCTGCTATCCTGCACGCAGGCACGGTCTCCCACGCCGGACGGGCGGCAGCAGGCGGCCGTTCCAAGGAGCTCAGGACAGAGAAGGTCCCAGGTCTGAGGTGTGGCCGACGCAGTCCACCACACTTGTTAACGGAAGGTTTGACGAGTGCGCAGGAGGGAGTCAGAGGTGGTGAGGGAAGGCGGAAAGCAGACCACTGCACGAGCAGGAGCGTGCCATCCACCAAGCTACAGTCTACTTTGGCACGTCTCGGAAATTTCTCTAATAATACTAACAAAGCCGGCAACACACTGGAGAACTACTGCCTCGGGACTTTTTTCTTTTGCTCAGCTGTGACATCTGATCCCCTCCACCAGCTGGGCCGAGGGGCCACATTTCACACATCGGCCAAACTGACCTGACGGTCAACCACCCAACCACCCAACCACCGCCTACAGCTTTCAGGGCGGGGGTGGTGTGACTTTCTTGAACATCCCTCCTTTGCCCAGACTCTGTTCACAGGAAGAAATGCAGATTGTATTACTACTTTAAAAACCTTAATCAACAGGTTCAGTAAAGCTGATAGAAGGTAACTTAGGTGCTAAAAGCGTGTGTAGGTTACCCATTTTCACCTCAGAACAGTTAAAAGGTTTTGTTCCCCCCCCACCCTTAGTCTTTTTTTTTTAAAGCTAGGGCGGTCATTATTTCATCACTATCTTGGGCCGCATCCTTCCTCCATCCCCTCTGCTCGAGGAGCGTGGCTCGTTAGTCGTCACTACCTCCTGCCTTGTCCGTGGTTTCCGGTGACTCCACGAACAGACACTCCAACTCGCCCGCCATGTTTCAGCAGGGCTCTGCCAGCACGCCGAAGGGGGCTGGTCGGGTGGAAACCACAGCGTACATGCGCACAGCGCGAGCTCACGCCTGCAGTTGACCCTGGCGGAGGCATCAGGTGCTTGCTGCGCGCATGCAGATCTGCGGCTGCGCCTGATTGATGGTACGCCTGCGCAGTCACCGGGCCACGCGCCAGTTTAGAAAAGCAAGGGCAGCATCAGGGTTTACTGAGCGGGCGTGGAGGGAGGGCTGTGGTTGCACTCAGAAACCTGGGGGCGGGGAGGGGGAGTCTTGGGGCCGGAGGGTAGAGGTGGGGGGAGTAGAGTGTGTCTGCCGGGGGCTGGGCTCCGTTTAGGTTGCTTGTGCCGTGCAGGTTGCCAAAGCCCGAGGACAAACGTGCAGTGCTGTTTGTGGCACATGTGAGCTCAGTCACTCTTCCACTGCACTACATTAGACAGCCTGGAAGGTTATCTTTCGTAACGAATACAACAGATCTCAGATGCTAAGTGCATCTCTCCTCTGTAAAAATTCGGGATGCCAGCCAGTGTGTGACGTCAGGTGCTACCCGCCCTGCAGCACAGACACTGGAGGCCGCCTTCTCAGTAGCAGTGGCCAGCACTGACGGGTGCCATTTGGGGTCATAAAGGATAGGAAGGGCAAAGGACTACCCTTGGACTTGGTTTAGGTCTCATGCCCACGTTTTCTTTAGCATACCCTGAGGCTGACTGCAAACACAATTTCTGGCTCTACAGCCAATGCTGGAAGCCTTGGGGGCCACTCCAGAGATGCTGCCTAGCCCTGCACACTCAGGGCTGGGAGTCCACAGGAGCAGGAAGGCCCTGAAGCTGCTTCAGAGGGGACAGCCCCGGACAGGGGCGGTTAACATCATCCATACGGAAGCAGGGCAGAGGAAGGTCTCCACCAAGAGAGAAGTGCATGAGGGGACTGGGACGGCAGCCTTGTACCACCTGTCTCCCACCCGTGGCTGGGACTTCACGGAGACTGGGACTGACCACAGACACACCCCTCCCACCTTTGTAGCACAGACCCAGGAGGCAAAAGCCACCGGTGGCCACTCCCAGCACTGCCTTGGCTGCGGGCATCTTGTTTCAGAGTCCAGTGAACAAGCCGTTGTGGGGAGCTTGGTCCGTGGAGGTGGCTGGGGGTGTGGAGTACTTGGGCGGGTAACGGATGAAGAGGCGATCTTCTTCTTTCTTCAGCCAGCGCAGGAGTTTGGTCACTACCAGGATGGCACCTGCCTTGGTCACCAGGGGGCTGAGGCAGGTGTAGAGCTCAAATTTGGAGGTCCCCTGGGAGTTTGGGAGAAGACAGAGTGAGAAGGGTTGGAGCTGGCCAAGACAACCCCATGTTCATCCTAACCCAGGCCTATGTCTGCCTCCTGCAGCAATGGACTCAGACAGGCAAGCCTGGGTCAGGGGCGAGCAGGTTTGTCAGCCGGATCTAACCGTGTGTGTGTACTCTCTGGACCTCAATTTGCTCATCTAGGGACAGGGGAAAATCTAAGAAGCTTTACATCCATGAGCAATTATGGTACACAGGGACTTGTTGTATTTACCCATCGACACCTAGGATGTAATACAGGCACAAACTCAGACCTGACCCCACCAGGTCGCCAGCATCTGCCTGTGCCCTCACCGCCTGCCAGCCCTTTTGCTTCCTCTGTTCCAGCTACTCCTGCCTTTCCTTGTTGTTCCTCAAACCCAAGCAGGCTCGCTCCCACTGAACAGAGTTTCTAGCCTTCCGACAGCAAGACCTTCCTCCACACGTCCACATGGCCGCCCCCCACCTCAGCTTAGAAGCAGTCTCCTTAGGGAAGCTGTTTTTGACCTCTTGGTTTACAACCCTGGGCTTCCCACACCCTTTCGATGCTGACTTCTGCTAAACGGGAAAATGGCTGGGTGCAGGGCCAGGGCAGACAGTGAAGGAGCAAGCTCCTCCATGCTGTTACAGACGTGTCAGATACAGGGACCAGCCCGGCTAAACCAAGGCTCCCGCTCCCCCTCGCCAGGGCACACACACATCTGAGTGCCAAAACAAAGGTTTTTCGCTCACTGCATAAAAGAAGCCACACTGATATAAAACTAAGGATTCAACACACAGGGGACAGGAAAGTGAAGTGCCAAAAGAATGGTGCGGTTAGAAACAGGTCATCATGTAGCCAGCACCGGGCTGAGCCCTGCCGTAGGTCAGAACACCATGCAGCAGCTGGAAGCTACGGCCCAACACAGGGCACTGCCAGTTAGCCCGGCTACCAACGACAAAGGGGACATGCTCAACAGTGGGGTTGTATGTCAGAAACGAACTCCATTAAGTGATCAGAGTTGGCTTCACCAGCAGTGCGGTACATTTGACATCTTGTGCCACCTGAAGTCATGTAGGAAAAGCTACAATGTCACTCATGTGGGATTCTTGCCTGACAGATGCTTGCTCTCAGTTAATTCACAGTGTAACATTAAGAAACCCAGGATGACAGCGTGCAGCCCCAAGTGTGGAGGTCACGAGAGACCACTCAACTCACCCAGGCCAGCAGCGTCTCCTTCTCGGCCACGTGGTAAATGAGGCGCAGGGGTCGGGAGGTGCTGTGGAGGCGAGCGTGCAGGCGGTGGTACAGGTCCGACAGCCGCTGCCGCTCCTCCTCTCTGCAGTACGGGGCCTCCAGCTCGGGGCTGTGGTGACAGAGCAGATGGAGGACAAGGTTAGTCCAGGGACCTCTCGGCTGGCCCGTGTCATCAAATTCTAGGGATTTCCACTAGATTAGGGAGCGGTGCCTCCCGCAGGGGTTGGGAGCTGAGCTGCTCTCAGGAGGCTTCCTGGTGTTCACTAGACACCGCTAGAACAGGGGCATCCCTTCAAGTTGGCGGCTGACCTTCCATCAAAAATGCTCCACTCACACTGTTTCTCATGAGTCACACCTGAGAAGCTGAACCTCCTAGACAAGCCATCCCACCCAGCCAACTGCCCACAGAGGCAGGGCCCACCTGGTGAACTGGGGCAGCTGGCGGTGGTGGTCAGGGATGTCCAGTGGTTTATAAAGGAAGTGTCGCAGGCCGGGGGCCCCCACAGCCTGCACGCTGTAGGCAGGTGCACTGGCTGATGGGGTGTGAGAGAAGCTGGCAGCCTCCCCAAGGGCATGCTGGGCACCAAGGGTCTGCATTCCATCTTCAACCAAGCGCCGGCAGGCGGCCATGGCATGAAAGGCTTCACGGTGGGTGCCGAGCAGCAACAGGCAGACGGGCACGGCATCCAGGCGGGCCACGTAGGCATAGAAGAAACCATCGGGGTTGAAGCGGGGCAGGCACACAGGGGCCCAGGCCTCGCCGGCTGCAAAGGCTGGAGCGCCCACCCAGTCCAGCAGCAGCTGCAAGTCGGCAGGGTCCAACCTGCATTCCGCCAGCACGTTCCGCTCCTGGGCTGCCGTCACCAGCCGGCCGCCTACTGCTAGCATGGACAGCGCCAGGCCGGGGGCTATACAGCGGCGGAGTAGTGCGCCCAGGGCTTCCCGCAGTGGGCGAGCCAGGGGCACGCAGCGCACAGCACCCAGAAGCAAGGCCCCTGGGTCCCGCTCCACGCTGTCCAGAAGCCGGTCCAGTGTGCGCTCGGAGCCAGCCAGCAGGCGGCGAAGGTCGTAGTTCTGTTTGTGTGCAAAGATGCGAGCCACACTCGCACGTGTCAAGGTGCTCACAATCTGGGCGTGCACGGCCAGCAGCTCTCCCCGCAGCTGGGCTGCCGACTGAGGAGTCCGGGACACAGCCACCAGAAGCAGTGGGCCCTGCTGCAGGAACACCAGCTTGTGGTCCTCTGGTGGATGGAAGGGGCAGGACAGGACAGAGAAGGACATGACTGTAGCGGGTCAAGCAGGACTCTTCTGCCACCCTCCCTCCCCGCCACACCTGCGCCCTGATTTGAGCCTGCTGATCCATCTGCAGGCACTTGGACTGAAGGAAGGAGGGCAAAGTGGATATTTGTAGAGATACGATGAGATGGCCAAGGGGTCAGGTGGGATAGGAAGGGCGTGAGGGGGAAGGGGAAGAACAAGGAGACTCTTGGAGTCACTCACCCCCGTCCCAGGCTGGCTGGCCCTGGCCACAGGCATGCAGAGCCAACCGGCCTACCCACAGCTGCCGAGCCAGACTGCCTGGCAACCAAACTCCTAGCCACGGTCCCCAGGCCGCCTGCTCACCAGCATAGATGGCACGGATGGCATCTCCCGCGCTCTGTACGAAGGACACGAGTGCTGTCATCACGCCCATGGTAGCCGACAGCGCCTCCACGCTCCCATACCGTGAGTAGATGGGCTTGCCAGCCTCGCTCAGGACAAAGACGTGCTTGCGCTGGTTGCGCCAGTCCTCATCGCTGGGGTCGCCACCCTGGACCCCAGGGCCACTCTCAGGGCCATGACGGGGGATCCTTTCGCTGGCTGGAGGACTCCAGCCCTCACCGGTGCTTGACGGGCACTCGGAAGTGGGCAGCGGTGAAGGAGGGCTGGCCGGTTGTTCTGTGGCCTTGGCCTCTGAAGAGGAGCACCTGATGAGCCAGCGGCCATGTCTCCAAGGACCCACCAAATCCCCACAGACCCCTGCAAACTGACAAAGACCTCCAAGCATCTCTCTTGCCCCTCAGTGACTCCCCACAGCCCCTCTCGGGACCTCTCCACATCATTCTTTAACAAGGAGGTTTCACTGATCCTCCCTCGGGCCCCGATAGCCCAGTAACCGCCACTGTCGTTCACCGAAACTCCTGTGGCCCCACAGACCAGCTTTTGCCATTTCAATAACTTCGCGCCCAAGTCCACAGAGCACCCTGCTGCCTCCAAGGGCCACTGGCAACACCCTCCTTTGCAGTGATCTTCCACGACCTCCTCTCACTCCTACTTCTCCCAGCAGAGAACCTCAGGGGCCACCCTGAACAGCTGAGTCTCCTGTACTGCTAAGCCCTGCTCTCACCGGGGTCCTCCAAGCACCGCAGGGATGTGCACCCATTCACCCCGTGGGCTTCCTCCAACTCCATCATCCATTTCGGCCGCAGTTCTCTGACACTCAACAATTCATGGTAGGCTCACGAACACCTGGGCCCTCCAGGACCCTCAATGGCCGCCCTGATCGACAACTCTACTCCACGGCCACTCCGTGGTCCACGCCAAGGACCTCCACCGCAGGGCATTCAAGGCTGCTGATGTTGGCTGCCTCTCTCAATGACAGTCATTATTATGCATTTGCAACTCTCCTTAACTGTGGAGCAGCATTCCAGCCACCCCATGTTCTCTCATTTCCTCACTGTCAGGTGCTGACACCCCCACGTCGCTGATTACCAAACCCTGTTTCCAGGGATGGCCAGGAAGCTCCCAGGCCCCAGCTGGTTTACTCTCAGGGAGGCCATGGGCTCTCCCTCCTGACCCCAAACTCCTCTGTGCACACCGGGCATGTCCACTGACATCGCGGCCTTCAACTAGCCCCCGCTGCTGGTCCCCTGACTTTCCAGATAATCCTAACTCCTCCCTTGTCCCACTCCCATCTCTACCCATTTCTCCTCAGTCTCCCCCGGGGGGTCCCCCTACTTTCCGAGACCCCCTTGCCCAATCCCGTTACCTAACAGCCTGGCAACACCCACTTGTAGGGCATCCCCTAGACCCTGTGGACTTGCTTTTCCTCCTCTCTGCCACCCCGACTTCTTCGGATCTTAACTGCACGGAGGCCACTGAGACTACTCCTCCGACATGCACACACTCCCTACAGCCCTGTCCCTGATGCCTCCTCCGCCCGACCCCAGATACCACGAGCAGGGGCGCCCTACCTGCGCCATCCAGGTCTCCATCTCCCGCGGGGACCCCTTCGTCCCCGTCTCCGGTCTCCTCCTCACTGGGGAGCTGCGTGTCCCCCAAGTCCTCCGTGCGTCTCCCGGGGGCCGCGGCAGCAGCGTCTCCTCCGGCCTCCATCTGCACATCCCTGGGGGGAAGGGGAACCGAGGGTGACGGGCAGCGAAGGACACTCCCCCAACGCCGATCCAGAGCCGGGCCCCGCTCCGGGAACCATTCCTAGCGCTCGATCCGCCCCCGGCCGTCCACAGGCAGGGAGACCCACACACAGGAGCCAGGAGTCGCCCCCTCCCCTCCGCCTGGGACGCTAGGCCTCCGCCAGGCCTCGGGAGACAAGGCTCCCCGAAACACCTGTTGCACTTCTCATCCCTTCCCTCAGAGGAGGGAGCTCCACACTTCCGGGTGTGGCCGGGTACCCGAGACACTTCCGGGTACGACACCGCCCAGGAGACACTTCCGGTTGCCCCTCTCCCGCCGCCTCCTGGGCTTCCCTCACGGTTGCGATGGCGCGCGCCGCCCACGGGCCCACGGCGGACCCGGTCCTATTTCTTTCCACCGAGCCAGCTGCGCTGCGCCGCGCAGGTGCCAGGCAGGGCGGCGCACTTCTAGAACTGGCAGTAGGAAGGCGATGGGGGCGCGACCCACAACCAGCCAATCCTGGAGTGCGAAGGGCGGGTTCTTCTCCTTCTGCGGCCCAATCGAGGGAAATCTGTCCCCTCTCTCCCCGCCCCGTCCAGGTCGTCCTTTCACCAATGCCGTGCGTTGGGTTGCCTTTGTACCCGCCCACTCCTTAATTGACAGGCCACCCCCCGCCCACCCGGACGGGTGTGTTCGTTGTGGGCGGGGCCGGGAGAACCTTCTGCATCCTCGTTGGCTGAGGTCGAGGCCCCGCGGGCCTCTGCGCGCCGTCATTGGCTGCCTGGGCGAGGGGCGGGCCGTTCGGGCTCTGCGGGCGCCGGGCAGATATAATCCTCCAGGCTGTGAGGGACCAAGGCTGGGAACCCCAGGAGGAGACGTTCCAGCCGGGAAATATCTCTCGTACTCTCCTAGTTTGGCCGCCGGCCGTGGCTGCGTGCCCGTTGCCCTTCCCTAGCGCGAGTCTGGCTTTCGCTGACTTCCCAGCCGCAGAAGGGAAGAGGGACCAAACAGCTCTAAAGGCGCCGCCAAGGACACGCGGGAGACCACCGTGTTCGAATCCCCAGCCCGACACTGCTTCCGGACTGGGCCCTTTTATCCCAGAAGGGTGAAGATTTACCCACTCGTAACCCAACACAGGCCCTCGCAGTGCCAGGAGGGCCGGACCTGCACCAGGCAGGATGCTAAGTGCACGTGGAGTGAGTGCTAAGTGCTTACATTGTAATTAGGGTAACGAATACCAAATACTAATGCAGCATCATACCCTATATGTACAACAGATAATACAGGGGTTTTTGGAGTATGTTAAATATGAACTTAAGTCTCATAAGTATTAGGTTTACCTATTAAATTTACAAAAACACAAGACTTGCATGTAGTACACATGGAAAGAAGTACAAAGATAGCCCATTAGCAAATACATATCATTTCGCAGAAACAATGAAACATGTTAAGGCAAATGTAAACCAAAGAAATTTCTAATATGTATAGCATGTAATATACTGATACTTTACAAAATGAGTACATTATACATTTTAAATAACATATCATGGAATAGTATTCGCATAGAACACGAGTGTTAGTCTAGTAAACTTGTCTTAGGGTACTCAGGCCTGTATCCTCTGCACTGAGATAAAATTTCTCCCCCGACCCCGTGCTAGGTCCCTACCTACGTACTGGTGACCTCGGGTAGGCCACTTCCCCGCTCTGACCTTGGCCGCCTCCGACGGTGCAGAGGGTGCTGACAGCAGCACCTGCCTTACTGCCATGTCCTCGGGGAGTTAAGTGATGCGATCAGGCAACTCGAACAGCACCTGACACAGGTTTAGGCTAAATGTCAGACTCTTTGAAATAACTCCGACTACCGTGACTGGATGGCGGTGCAGTGCCCTCTTTCCGACAGCATCATAACTCATGCAAATTGGTGTAGATTACTTGACATTAAATCGTAGGTGTATGGGTGTGATTCCAAAGCCCTGAGAGGCATGCGTAAGGCATGGAACGTGACAGTCCAGACAACAGGAAGCAGTGACAGCGAGGCTAGGTCTTCCAAGGCATTTCTGGGCTGTGTCCACATCTGAGCTTTACCATAACCTTGGGTTCTTGGAAAGTCCTGAAAAGGCAGTGACGGTGCCTATCACAGGATGGTGTCTCATTCCAGGGTGAGATCTGGCTTTCCTTTTACAGCTTAGGAAGTTTTCTGTAAATGGAATTGGGAGCACTTGTGTGCTTGGTTCTGTTGTTCGCCACTAGGTGGGATGCAACTCTTACTAATAGAATAAAGCGCATGATGCTTAAGCTGGGTATCATTTGGATCAATTCATGGAGCATTGATGGAAGATTGGTTGATCGAATGATCCGCATCATGTGCCAATCCTCTCCGTTGATGGGATGATCACTGCTCAGGAACCCCTGAACATGGCTTGATGGGACGCTCCCCTCTTCCACGTGTGGTGGAATGGGGCAGGCCACCGGTCAGCAGTGGCCAGTGAACAAAGAGTTCCTGAGCAACAGGCAAGTCATTAACATCCCTTGAAGTTTCCTTGGATGCGAAACTCTCCGAGGATAGAGCCAAGGGACTGGACGGCAGATTAGCAGAGTCTACTGAGGATAGACTTGCTAAGGCGGACTGTGCTGCGCGCACACCCACACACACCCCTCCGGGTGCAGCCTACTCTAGAACCTGATCACACAGACCTGTTCACAAACATGCACTCCGGGCTGCTCACAGGAGTCTGTCCTGACAGGACAGGCAGTCTTTATGGATCATTTACCTGCCCCAGGGTGAGCTGAGCCTCAGGCACTGATCTCTAAAGAAACCGGGGGCATCCTCTTCTCACACTGTCTGGACACAGGGCAGGAGCTCTAGCGCGTATTGCAGCTAATGTTTGCTGGCAGGGTTAAAAGGCAGAGCCTCAAAGAGACCCAAGGGGACAGCACAGTGTATATGGGAAACAAACACTCTCCTTTAGTGCCAATGTTCACCAACTATGCGGGGTTCCTTTGTGTTTGTTCTCCTGTTGGGAGGATCATTATTCTCGATGGCTAAACAGGAAGGCAATCCACACCTTCCTTCCACAAATCAAAGACTCAGCCAAAGCTACGGCCATCATGGCACTATCATCTAGCCATCAAGGGGAGGAAATCCCATCAGATCCCACAGAGCAGATGAACCTCAAGGACATCATGGTTGTTGAAAATAGCCAGGCTCCAAAGACAAGTATTGCATAATTCCATGTACCTGAGGAACCTAGAGCAGAGGAAGTCAGAGTGACAGGCAGTGAGGTGGCAGCTGCCAGAGGCTAGGAGGAAATGAGGAGACACTGGTCGATAAGAACAGAGCTTGAATTTGACAAGGTGGGAAGACTCATGGTGGCGCACGCACAGCAGCATGACTAAATCTGCTATCAACAAACTACACACTTTTAAGACCAAGATGGTGGGTTTAAAACCTATCTTGCTCTATGTGTTGCAAACAATACTGGGAAAAATATTCCTAACTGTCCAGGAAAAAATGTCAGATCTACTGCTATGCAATAGCAGTGAGCAATCTACAAACAAAATTTGAAACAATCAGTTAATTACACTACCTAAAGAAATAAGAACTGTGCATGAATTTAATTAAAGAAGTGCAAAGCTAAAAATAATAAAGGGTCCTTGAGGAAAAAAACACTAAACTTGAAATTGTTAAGTGATCAAACTTGTTTAAATCAATCTCTAACCATAAATGCAATCTCTACCAAAATCCCAGCTGCCTTTGTCCCCTTTGGGCTGACATTCACAAGGTTGTCCTTCATGTTATAAGGAAATGCAAAAGATACAGAATAGCCAAATCAATATGGAAAAGGGACAGCAAAGTTGGAAGACGATTCCAGAGCTTACTATAAAACTGCTAAAATACAATGATCAAATCCTGTTATATTAATAGACTAACAAATCAATGAAATCCAATTGAGAGTCTAAAACTTAACTTATATGTTTGTGATACATTGATTTCTCACCAAGGTATGAAGACAATTCACTGCAGAAATAGTAAACAGTAGCCTTGTCGATCAGTAGGGCTGAAACAACAGAATATCTGCGTGCGAGGTAATGGCATTGCAACTCCCATTGCACAGCACACAAAATGCTTAACAAAATGGAATATGGACATACATATAAATGTTACATGTTTAAAGCAATTTCATATGATTGTTTATTTAAAAGTGTGTGTGTGCATACCGGAGAGAGAGAGAGAGAGCTGCCATCTGCTGATTTACTTTCCAATATTTGGAACTGCCAAGGTTGGACCAGGACTCAGTCCAGGTTTTCAAGCTGAGTGGAGAAACCTACGTACTTGAACCCTCACCCCTGCCTCATATCATTTATATCATCAGAATGAAAGAATCAGGAGCAGAGAAGGTATAGAACTCACACACTCTGATAAGGAACATGGGTATCTTAACTGGCATCTTAACCAGTAGGCCCAACACTTGCCCCTCAACCTGTGCACTTTCATAGGGAAGGTTGGATATAAATCTGAGTGACCTTGGTGAAAGTGGGGATTTCTCCTGCATGACACCCAATGCACAGGAATTAAAGATTAATTCGATTTTGCCAAAACCAAAGATCACCGTTTATGAGTAATACACTGTAAAAGACACAACTAAATAATAAAATACAGATAATCTAATTAGATACAAATAAAACTATGTCTTAGATATGAAACCAAGAAGACTGAAAAAAGTTTAAACAAACCCTAATACTAAACTGTTTCAAGTAGCATTATTTATAATAACAACAAATGTCCAGATTCCCATCAATCAAAAAAGTGAGCCAAAGCAATGTAAGTACATATTTAACAGCAATTAAAAGTGGTCAAGTTCTATTACCTCCTCAAACATGGATAAACCTTGACACCACGCTAAGGGAAGGGAGTCACACACAAAGTACCACGTACAATATGATTCCATTTAGATAAAAGGTCAAGAATAGGACAATCTATAGATATAAAATGAGGAGTGATTGTTGGGGTTAAGGAAGAGGAATGTGGAGTCATTAGTAAAGGATGTTGCTTTTGTTCTGGAATAGAGATGACTTGGTTGTAAATTTGTTGACTCTACCAAATACCATTGATTTGTACACTTCAAAAGAGTGTCTTTCATGCTCTCTGAAATACATTTTACTTTTAAGAAGTGTTCATTAGTGCCTCAGCCAGTGCTATGATAAAAGAAAGTTGAGTCTTTGCTGAATAAGTAAATTGTGGGCATTTGCTATAGGAATTAAGTGACCCCAAAGGATGTTTGCATCCCTAACTGAAGTGCTTGGGTTGGAGTCCTGGCTCCAGTTCTGGTTGTGAATGTGCATCCTGGGATGCAGTAGATAATGGCTCAAGCACTCAGGACCCTGTCATCCACACCAAGAAGACTGAGTTCCAGGTTCCTGGCTTCAGTCTGAGCCAGCTCCAGTGTGGTGGGCGTTTGGAGGAGTGAGCCAGTAGAAGGA